GAGATTAAAGACACATGTGCAAACATCTAGGTGTTAGTAGCATTAAAAATTTAGGAAACAGCATATTTTAAAATGAAATGGACATCTTCTTTAAAGGGTAAAAACTCATTCAATTTTTTATCTTATAGGGTTTATACTGAGTTCAATATTGTATAATTAATTGTATTAATTCAACTGTGAACCTAAAAATTTACAGCCACGTTTGAAAAAGATGTATCTTTGCTCTGGAAAGTGTTATTGAATATGATAAAGTAGTAATGAAATGCTTCTTCTAATCATGTGGTTATTAAATGAAAAAAATAAAAAATAATAATTCTTCAATGTGTAAGTTGGGCCCTAAAATCTTCCTTAAAGAACCAAGTACAGTATAAATGTTCCAACTTTTCTCATTTGCAATAAATATTTGAGATCTAATATTAAGAAATAATTTTCAGGATCAGGGAGAAATGCATGTTCAAACATCTTAGTGTTAATTGCATTAAAAATAAATTTTTCTTGATCAAGAGGACAGGTGACCCACCACAATTATAGGACATTTTGAGAGATGCTCATAGTCCCCTGGAAATAGTTGACCTAGGAAGGCTAGGAGCAAAGGTCTCAAAGTATGTCTGTTAAACACCCAAGAAGGTTAGTTCCACCAGTCTGGTATTTTTAATTACTGTGTGTCATGTAGATAAATCTTGGGCAAAGACCAATTGTTCTCAGATAAACCTTACCTAGACATATATTTCTTGATCTGCTATGTATAATTTGTCAGTAGGGTGTAGGAGTAATATGGTTCCCTCTGGTTTTCAAAACTAGCTAGGCATTGTTTATTTCTCACATTGTCTCACCCCTCCATCATGGTTTTTCCACTTTAGGTGACCCCATTTCCCCCCTTTCTCCCTTACTAATACCCTTCTCCTATGGTCCTACCTCTCTTGAGCTCCTTCTTTCCCTTTATCCCCTAGGTTCCTTGTATACCCTTCCCTCCCCCTCCCTTAAACTAACCCAATTTTTATCCATATCTCCCTTATTAAGGCCTGTTTCCTACCGTTCGCTCTTTCAGGTTCTTTCTTTTCCTTTACCTCCCTGTTTCCTTTCCATTATCCTGGTTCCTGTAGTTATGTCTGGTTGCATACTTATTTATCAGAGTCTGGGATCCATATATCAGGGAGAACATGATTTTTTTTTCTGAGTCTGTGTTACTTCACTTAATATAACAGTTTCTAG